ATTGTTCGTACGAATGACTCGAAAATGCTCGCTCTTGAGAATCGATTTGACTCGTCTTTAATCCTCGGGAAAAACCTGAAAATATACCAAGAACACGGAAAAATACGCCAAAAATATAAAATGAAAGAAAGACACAAAATCAAACGGAAAACGACCAAATGGACTGGTCGACCCTAAACAAACCTAAAATCGACTCGATTACACTTAAAAACACAGAAATAAGCACAAAAACATAACAAACATGTAGTTAAAAAAAAACAACTCCTTGTCGGAACACACATGGCGAGTGACAGCAGTATCAATGTATCACTCCCTTAGGTTATCCACCAAATTAGCTTCAAACACCACAACCGACATATCCATGTCGGTTAGTTCACCCGGCACAGGGTCGTGTTCAGCAACGAGGGCACTAGGTTGTGCCTTCTTCAGTCCAGATTTTTTAGGCTTCCTACAGTCTTTTGCCATTCGGTTTGGCTTTCCACAGTTGTGGCAAGTGGCGGTAAATTTCCAAACTTTGGCAGGCTGCTGTTTCCTTTGTTAAGGGGCTTCTTTTTGCTCGAGTTCCCTTGCTCCAGCAAGTTTGCACGAGCCGAGGCCCGGCCAGGCCCGGCGGGCCACTTGCATCAATACCTTAGCCCGCAACCGGTGTTGGAAAATCAGTAATATAAAATTGGGTATGACTCGATTTTAACTGATTTGTTGATGGCTAAATATTTAATTCGGATTGAATTAAATTGTGTATAAATTCTACGTTTCGAGTGGAACTCGTGGTATATTTAATTTCTCAATACTGATTTTCTGTGAGTGAGAAATAAATGTTAGCCATAAATGGGCACACTGAACGTTTGTTGTGAGATTCTAATGGTCAAAAGTCTTATCCCACGTAAAACTCTTAAATGATATTTAACTCTATATATATATATATATATATATATTTATCGTTAAATTAAATTTTATAGATCAAAATGAATTTACAATCGACCGTTTCTCGGCTTACAAAAGCAAAGGTGGGCGACCATAGACCGGCCCCTCACTTGCTATTCGAAATAAAATAAGAGAAAAAAAACACACTCCGGTTGTTCAACTCAAAGTTTATCGAGACAAGGGAATCGGGTGGAAAGTCATGCATTAGGCAATTCTCTATCGCTTTCGATTCCTTCCACGCATGCTTAAAGTGGTTAAGCCCGACCATTTCCAAGGGCTTTTCTCTCCATGTCGGCTAGGACATTGGGGTACAAAGCAAATATATTCCTATAGACATGAGTTTGGATTTTCCGTATAATAAGCTCGGGAGTTTGTACCTCATTTTTCAAAGATTTTCCTATTTCGTGCATTCCAAAGGAAGTAGATTGTAGATGCTAACCCGGCCTTGGTTGCTTTTGTTCTCCAACCGGAGCCTTGGGATTCCTTCTTGATCCACTTCAAAGCACTCTTTAATGTGGAGAGTTGCCTTCTCAATCCGAGCCAACGCCGGATGGCAAGCCAAACTTGGG